TCTTAAGGTCATTTGATCAGAAAATGCTCAACACAGCGTCACTCGACCTCTTTCGAAATCCCATTTTCAGACCCATAAATTTCTGCAGAATAGGTGAGGATGTAAGCATTACTTAAATTTCAGACATTAAGAATATGAAATAATATCCCCTTGTGAAATACGATACCTAAATGTCAGCGTTTCAATCACTGCATTTGTTCACGAATAATCAAAGACATTGAAAAGAAGCTGCAGTTAAATAGCAGTCCGTAAATCTATTGCTAACGTGTGATGCCTTCAACAGATGAATGGTAGACAAAGAAGTGAAAATTTTTAAGAATAAAGTAATAATCAACACATATAATAAACATATGAACTTACAAAACTGAACATGGAAATCTACAAAAACAGGTCTTCATCACCAGTCAGTTAAAATTCAAATCAAATTTTTATAAACTTCTTTCATTTTATATTTATTAATAGCGCATAGAAGTTAAAAATAAGTTATTAATGAAATAAATATGTAGAACTAGGCCTGTCGTAAGACCTCAAACGATTTGCTTGTCATAGGAACAAACGTGTGGATACTTAAGAAAAGTGATTATCGGTTAATGATTAACATAATCATGGTAATCATTAATATCACAAGAGAAACAGGCACTTTTCAGGATTTACGAAGGGCCTAGTTTCAATGCTGAAAGTCTATTAACTAACGATAGTTAATTTCATTAACCATCTTCATAGTTTTGCATGATATAATTTCCAGTTCATCAACATCTCTGTGAGGACTGAGCTCTTTCGCGAATGTTATTCGTACCTTCTTCAGCACGCATTCTCAGAGATGTCCTAGCTGTCAAAACAAGTCCTTTGATTACACTCAACGTAAAATATTAATGAAGGTCAACCGTGGAATTCTTGCGGTACTGTAAAACTTTGTTTCAGTATAACGTTACTGACTGTGCTACTTATTCAGCCCTTAAGTATTTTCTTGTTCTCTCTCTGTTTAACTGTTTTCAAGTAGTTGAAACAGTTATCATACTTGTTCGTTTTATTGTGTGACATGATTGTGATATAATGTTTTTTGCATGCTGAAAATTGCATTCATAGGTTATGTGAATCTATCAGTAACATTTCAGTGTTACTTGTGATCTGTCGTTACGCTTTAACACGATCTTATTACTGCGAAGTTCTAGTTTCAAGAGACAGACTTAATATTTTTCTACTTGCCAAGCCGTCGTTGTAGCAAATGCGAATGATGTTTCTCGTGCAGGTTTCGGTCATTCAGAAGCAGAACAGAAAGGCTATCCGGTCATAATGCATTTAATCCATACAACTTTTTTGGTAAGTGATTCCTTGTTAAATAAATTGTTAAAGACTCACAGAAAATTTCTCCAGAAAAGAGTGTATCTGCTTTAATATCTAAAAAACATCAGATGTAATAATAATGAATGAGATAATCAATCAGGCCTGTAACTTAGTTCTCATGTCTTGTTACTGTACTTTACTGCATGAAAACACATCCAGATAAGGACTATATGAAAGAGTGCTTTGGGTGCAACAGGATCTTCTTATTAAACCTGACGGTAGCAGAGGAGAGCTAATCAAACACTGTCGAAGGAAGGGTGTTTTAGCTGATGCAACTCACGAGAAGCGCTAGTCTAAGAGTGTGGGGAAGTGCAATCAGCAATTACAAGACTCTGAAATACTGCTGGCCCCTGCGCAACAAACTGGAGGTAAAATGCAGTACCTGATGAACGGTCTCGACGACAGCGGTCTGCAGAGATCAAATTTTATGTACAAGTTCGGTTTAATTACAGGAGTGATCACACTCTTTCGTCACGATTCAAAAACCTGAACATCGCACTGAACGACATACGGTGGCCTGACGTGACGTTACCTTTGAGGACGGTTTTAAACTGCGTGATTAGAATGAATGGTTGTGCTGAGTCTCTTAAAGTTTGATCAGATTTACCGACGCTGTGGAACGAAACGGAGTGTTTGGGTCTTCTTGAGGTCTTTGAAAGTGGCGAAACACTTTGCTGGCGGATTTTCAGTGGTCGCACCTTCATCCTACAACACCTTAGCGTCATTCGAAGCGTGATGAATTGAGTGGCTTGAAGGAGCCTTGGAAATTGGCGTGCTGAACGCGTTTCATCTCTGCATAGATCTCTCTCTAGATAGAGTTAAATTTGATCATATAACCTCATTTGTAACCAGGTTCTCGGAGAACCGCAATTCTGACAGGTTCTAAGATATAAACCAATGGCTCATGACCCGAGATTATGCCATGAAATTTCTTGAAATGACTGATGTCATCATTATAAGACTAAATCGATCGATTATTTCGAAAAAAATAACGGACTGCGTCACTGGAAGTTCATCGGTATAAATGTACTAATGCAAATAACGCGTACTTGTGCTGCTGATCAGCAAGTTCTCGGGTTTGACGTCGAGATGGGCGACGCCTTTGCGATGTATGTACTTCTAAGCAGCAGTTAGATCGATTAGCATATTAAAAAATTACGAGACAGATCGTAATGTACCACAGCATCGATAAGTTGGCGAAAATAAAACTGTGCATCTTTGGGAGCCATGCCGAGACCGCGAGTTGCCACTAGAAGGCAAACGTTATCCAGAAAGCGTCGTACAGTAACAAATTACCTTACCTACTCGATCGATCAAGGATCCGCCCGCAGCGTATTCCAGGTATATCCAATAATACCTATCGCACCTACGGGCTTTAATAAACCGAATCACGTTTTCATGATCCAGATTCCTCATCAGTGCAATCTACAAAGAAGGCAACAATTTATCACGCAGTCCACTTGAAAAGAAATGCATTAAACATAGACTTATGACCTCAATGAAGATGCGAATCAAGTTTCATAAACTATAAACAAATGTGCGCAGATTTTATTCTCGACAGAATTCCACATCGTTCAACTCTAAAAGAATACTTGTTCCAAACTTAATTCTGAGACAAGTGCAAAAAATTGTTCAGAAAGGAGAGAGAATGCCGTCGTTAAGCCAAATCTCGAAACACAAGAACAACTAAACTATTTGGTACAGAAATTGTCACGGAAGCTCACCCCTCCCCAGTAACCGAAATCCATATCGCGGCGTTAAAGATTTCGCATTTTGGTATTTGGCCATAACTCACCGCTCTGGTAAGGCTGGTTACTGAAAGTTGCTTCTTCCACTTAGCCTGGTCTACTGTTATAGTTTTTACAGTACGGTACATCTGCCAGAACCTAAAGGCTCAACTGTACGTCGTTTTGAGAACCCGTTCTCACCCTCCTACCGTGCTGAGTTAGGGAAAACATGGTTTAGAATGGTGTGAAAGATGCGCAGAAACAATTTTATG